CCCCTAGATGCCACACTGTGTACTGCTACCCTCTGAATCTATGATCTGGTCCTACACCTGCAATGTTACTGAAACAACAAAGCACCACAGGCATCCAATTGCATTCACCTCCTTATCTATCCTCACAGCCCGGGTATCTCGGATGAGCCAGTCATGGCAGGGGATGGGGGGTACTTCCTATTTGCCAGGTGTCGGAAGGGGCTAGGGTCTGGCTGTTCCAGTCCGGTGGCAGCTTGCGCATGACACTGGTTCCCCAGACTGGGCTTGCTTTCTGGTGCGGTTTTCTTCTTTCTGCCCCCGGTCCATGAATAGCATCTTTTAGATTTCCTTAAAAACATATATTCCTCCTTCGCCCCTCCTTCCCCTCTTTCCTTTTAAAACAAGATCTGCTATGTAGTTTGGGCTAGCCTCAAACTCACAATTCTCTTGTCTCCGCCTCCCGAGTACTGGGGTTCCAGCTGTGCTGCTTCATCTCTTCTCTCCTGCCCCACACAGCCAGCTCAGCACTCCCAAATTCCAGTTCCCTGCCTTCTTCAGTGCAGGGGTGCCAGTGTGCACTGCCTGATCAGCACCTACTCACCCCAGCATCAGGAAAATGCTTCCAGAGAGAAAGCCAGGACGATGAGGTGCCCTCTACTTTCAGGGATGACAGTCCTTTGCTATGTGCTGTATCACACCTGGGGACAGTTGCTTCAGACGTCCACTGCTTTCTTCCCAGCAGTCTACTCTAGGGCTACTACTCAGTCACAAACAGCTAGAGACAGGCATCTTCACTGAGGATGCTTTAGGAAATGAATCACACTTCTAATTTATATATAAAGTTAACATAATTTTTTTCTTGAATTTATAAGAACTGTTTCTTATAAATTCAATTTAAGCTTGAAAACTTCCACTGAGGTCAAGTTAATGTTATGCTCTATGCTTATCACCCTAGTAACCATGTACCTGGAGCACCGACCACATTGTTATAAATTAGTTATAAATTAACTGAGGCATCACCATACTGTTCTGCATGCGTCATCACCTTAGTAACCTGTTTGCTGTGTCAACCATTGTTCCCTTTGTGAGAGACAAATGATGCCGTGTCAACGTTTGTTCACTTTGTGAGAAACAAATGTTCCTGGAATTAGTAGACCAAGGGCTGTAACTTAAGGGGAAAAAAAGGGCTAACCACCAACTGCAAAATGTCTCTGACCTCAAGCAAAGGCCTTCCTGATTCCTGTTCTGTCATGTCATTGGGTTAATGTGCTGTAAAAATCTGTCGAAATTCTAACTCAGTTGCACAGTTTTGCAAATTCCATCTGCACTGTGTCACTGATGCCAGCTAAAATAAAAGCGCTTCTTTTAAAAAAGACATCATCTTACCCCGTTTTTCATCTCAGGGTCTTTTTTGGGTACAACATTTGGGGGCTCGTCCAGGATTACATGGATGCCCCTCCCCACAGATTTTCACCCTTTGATTGGCTTGAACCATCTATAAGTATTTGGGTCTTTTGTTCTTTGTAATTTGAGTGCACACATTTGAAGCTGCAGACGAGCCTGGCTGGCTCCTTCTGCACCAGAGCGGGATGCCCTTCGGGAAAGGGCTTCTAGCCCATTTGTGATTTGGGATTTTTGTCCATTTGGTTTAGTGCTTGGTAATTTTTACTATGGAGCCATTTGCTTGTTTGAATTTGTTACCTCAGTACTAACATTCAGGTTTATTTTATTTCTCTTAAACTACTGTTGCAGGTTCCATTCAGCTTATTGGACTTAAGGGTCATAATGAAAATTTTTTCCCTTTAGGTCACTGAACCATGGACAGAAAAACCTTTGTGTTTTTAATGTTGGTCTTGTCTTTTGTGGTGTCTTGTTTAATGTTTTAGTCTATAAATGATTATTTACAACCTCAGCATGCCTCTAAAAAGAATTTTTCTTTCTGGTTAAAATGTAATATATATATATATATATATATATATATATATATATATATATGCATATATATATTTACGCATATATATATATATATATATATATATATATATGGATGGATTTTAAAATCATATTAACTTTACCAAGTGAAGCCAGGTCATACTGTTATTGAGCCAGTTTAAAAAGTTTTAAAGTGTGGCATTTTAAGGTGGTAAAAAGACATAAAATGATTCAATATATTTTAGATTACTAAAAGAAAGTCACTTCAAGGATTTTGTTACGTTTTAATGTTGTCTAGAAAGCTGGAGAAAAGGTAATTAACTGGTAATAAGTAACAAACAGAGAAAAACAAATGTATTCAGAATTTGACAGAATTGGATCAGTAAACCTTTACTGCAAAATGTTTCCATTAAAATGAGATTATATTCCAAAAAGGGGAGGACAAACTGGAGCCCTTTGTCATTCCAAGTTTATATAATGATGATAAGTCAGTGTTGACCATTATATAAAATATATTTGCCTATGAAAATAAAAAAAATTTTTTTGTCTTTTTCCTTTTTACTGGTACCAGGAATCGAACTCACGACTGCCTGCTTGCAAGGCAGGTGCTTATGCCACTAAGCTAAATCCCCAGCCTCCAAAAAATTAAAAGGATTGCAATTCTCAGCAAGGGATAGCAAAAGGAGTACTGACCTAGAGTTTAGGACCATGGCAAAAGCCTGTTGCCTATCTTTCCAAGAGACTTGATAATGTGGCAGATGGATGGCTGCCTTGCCTGCAGCCTTGGTGCCCGTCTGGTGAAAGAGGCCCAAAAGTTGACATTTGGACAAAAACTTAATTATCTCCTTTCATTCACTGGAGACTCTCATCAAGGCTCTGCCAGACCGATGGTTGTCTAACTCCCAAGTCATGCACTATCAGGCATTATTTCTGGATCTGACTACCATCAGTTTCAAGGGGACAGTGGTTTTGAACCCAGGTACTCTGCTACCTGATGACGACCTCTCCTTGCCCCTCTGATCATCTCATGGGGCTTCAACCAGGCTTGACAGATGAGCCACTATCCAGAGTTCCATCGTATTTCTCCGATGGAAGCAGTTATATTTATCAAGGTAAGTAGGTCACAGGAGCTGCCATCACTATGGACTCTCAGATTCTATGGGACCAAACCTTGGAGCCAGGAACATCAGCCCAATGGGCTGAACTCACTGCCCTCACTGAGGCCCTCAAGTTGTCAGACTGATAGCAGATATGCATTTGCTACTGCCCATGTTCATGGGGCCATTTATCAGGAACAAGGCTTACTGACTTCAGGGGACCAAAAGATCAAAAACGCTCCCCAAATTTTGGATTTGTTAGTTGCCATTTGGATGCCAAGGAAGATGGCTATTAAATAATCTAGCAGGTGCCACTGCCCAAAAAGCGGCCACAAAAATCAGTGGGGATTGAGACAGTCCTGGCATTGCTGCTGATTCCACCTACTCTGTTAGAGCCCTTTGGCACTCAAATATCTGGAGATATTGGGAACAAATAGAGTCATTTGTTCTCTAGCTTTGACTTAAAGAGTCCAGTCCAAGTGAAGAGAAATTCTGTACTCTTACCTGTATTACTGGAAATTGGGATGTCAGAGTCAACAGGTTTAGGAGTGTCCAGCCTAACAGTTGGAGACCAAAATTATAGACACCTAAGTGCACTCATTGATTAAGATCTAGCATCCCTTAGTGACTCTGTCTCCAAATCAGATGATTCTTTAAGTTCACTGGCTGAGATGGTTTTGCAAAACTGGTGGGGTCTCGATCTCCTGTTCCTAAAGAAAGGAGGCCTCTGTCTGGCCTTAGGAGAAGATTGTTGCTTGTATGTCAATTATTCTGGGGTTATCCAACAAAGTATGGCTGGCCTTAAAAGGCAGCTACAGGAATGAAAACAAGCCAGACAAGCTGAACAGAATTGGTTTGAATGATGTTTTTTTCCTATCTCTCTGGTTGACAACGTTAATCACAGCAGCCTCCAGACCTCTGTTAGTCTTACTTGTTTAACAATTGGACCTAGGGGCTGGGGATTTAGCTCAGTGGCCTAAGTGCCTGCCTTGCAAGCAGGCAGTCATGAGTTCGATCCCTGGTACCGATAAAAAGGAAAAAGACAAAAAAAAACAACAAAAAAAAAACAATTGGACCTTGTATTATAAACAAATTGATAAATTATGTCAAAGATCAGTTCAAACTATAAAACTCAAGATTTTAAGGACACAAGTTTATAAACAGATACCTCTGCTTGAAAACTCCATGAGCCAATGATTTGGCGTACTGACAATAATCAGTGGGGAATGTTATGCTCTATGCTTATCACCCTAGTAACCAGTACCTGGAGCACCGACCACAGTGTTATAAATTAGTTATAAATTAACTGAGGCTTTGCCATACTGTTCTGCATGCGTCATCACCTTAGTAACCTGTTTGCTGTGTCAACATTGTTCCCTTTGTGAGAAACAAATGATGCTGTGTCAACCTTTCTTTGCTTTGTGAGAAACAAATGTTTCTGGAATTAGCAGACCAAGGGCTGTAACTTAGGGGAAAAAAGGGCTAACCACCAACTTTGAAATGTCTCTGGACTCAAGCAAAGGAAAACAAAGGCCTTTCTAATTCCTGCTCCATCATATCGCGGGGTTAATGTGCTATAAAAATCTGTCAAAATTCTAACTCAGTTGCACAGCTTTGCAAATTCCATCTGCACTGTGTCGCTGGTGCCTGCTAAAACAAAAGTGCTTCTGTTAAAAGACATCATCTTCCCCTGTTTTTCATCTTGGGGCTTTTTTGGGGGTATAACAGTTAACAGACTAAAATGACTTGGGCTAAGGAGTTAGCTTAGGGGCTCAAGTGCTTGCCTGGCAAGCATACATTTGATCCCTGGTATGCAAAAAAGGAAAAACAAAGCCAAACTGTGCCCTCTTTTTTCTACTTTTCATATAAATAAACACATTATTTAAACGTACCGTGAGTTCCTTAATATCCATGTAACACATACATTTTAAAAAATATAGCACCTCTCCTAATAAAAACAAGCTACTGCATTGTGCCACGTTGCCCTGTTACCTTGTAAAGTTTAAGAATGGCCTTGATGCACTCATGTACAAATTTGGTCTGTTTCTGAAGGGTTCCGCCGTACAGCGCCACCAGCTCCTCATTGAAGTTGACACTGAAGAAGTCAAAATGGTACTTAAAGTCGATGTCTTCTGCTTTCCTGAGGGCGATGGAGCCAACAGAACGAACTGCAGGGGAAGAAGGGCATAGCAGACAAAATATTCTGAGGCTGCATCCTTTTTGCTTCAAAATCTCTTCATAAATAAACTTCATCATGGAAACAAATTTGAGGGCAACACTTATTAATAGTACTAATACAGAAGAACACACTAACCTATACCTCAAACATTAAATGTGCCCTGAACATTTTAAAAAAGTAAATTAAAAAATGAGTGGGTTGCTCATTCTCTATTTGCTTTTCCTCAGCAGGAGCTATAGCAGCTAGGAGGGGAAGGGTATAAGGAATTGACATTTCATCATGTACTGAGGATTTAAGGAGGAGATTCTCATAGGAAACTTCTGTTCCCTGTTGGTCCAGACAGATTGCATCATTTCTTACCCAAAGCCCTCCAGTTTTCCCATCTTATTTAGATAAAAGCCGTAGTGTTTTCCCCAGATTATATGACATAGCCCAAGGCTGCTTTTCCACTTTCTTCTCTTCCACTTTTTCCCAGACACAGTGGCCTAAAGGCACATAGCAGTTTGCTGCCTCAGGGCCTCCCTGAAAACAGTGGCATGCAATTCCGTGCTACATCTAAGCCTCTGCTCAAATTCTCACCATGGTCCTTCCTGACCACCTCATCTAAACTAGGCATCTCCTGGCCTTGTCTATCCTGTCTCCTTCTCTAGTTTTTTTTTCCAACTGTAACATTACTGACATATTTGTCAGGTGTCTGTCTTTCCAGCAAGAATAATAAAGGAACTTTATGTGTCTCAGGCAGCTCTGAGTCTCCGTGACAGTGGTGGCACCCCTACAGCACTCATGCCTCAGTAGGCACACACAGCCTTCTCTACTGGCACACGAGTCAAGTTGCCACAGCATCACCTCAGCAGCTGAGATGCAAGCTTAAGCACAGTGTTGTCACTTTGACCTAAGTGGGTTCTGGGTTGTGGGTTTGGCCTTGATTTCTAAAAGGTTCTTTATCACCACCCTGGTATCTACAATAGTACCTGGCTCATGATGGGTACTCATAAATATCTGCTAGATGGATAAACACGTCAGCAACTACAGTAGATGTTGGAACAGCCCTAGTATCATCATATAACAATTCTAGTCATTTAACAATCAAGCAAACTGTGGGTGGAAGTAAAATTACTTGCAGTCATATACTTTGCTGTTGTGCCAAAAGCTATTGCTGGTCTTCTCCAAACCAACAACAAATTTGGAATCTGCACATACAACTTTCCCGCCTTCATACTTCTGTGATCTCTTCTATACTTCTAGATCTACCTTAAATAGCTCCAGAAGTAAGAATTTCTTTCTTGTTCATGATAACATAAGGCACCAATTTCTCTCTCAAGGCTCTCTCAAGGCTCCAGGTCCTATCCTCTGCACACTCCATTTCTAACATAAACCTCTTCGTTCTGTTGATTCTCAAATACCAGTATAATCCATTTATCCTGCCCCACGCCACCTTTCACTTTTTCTCCTTCTCACCCTACAGCTCTTCTTTTCTTTGTGTTTCTCAAATGTACTTTTGGGGAAAGCGTGTTGTATCTCGGTCTCCAGTAAGCCTGACACAGGAGTGTGTATAACACAGCGTAGTGTTTCACATACACTTCATTTGCTTCACCAAGAACGCACAGGATTTGACTTCCTTAACTGAATTTTACAGATTTCAAATTTACTTCCACTACCTACCTTGCTTGTAACTTCCAGCATTACCCGGAAGGAAGAGAACTGGAATTCCTGTCAGAGGGAGAACTTTGTGTTCTTCAGCATAGAACCCTTCTCCATAAAGGTATAACTCGTAGGCTGGATAGCGTTTCGTCAGTTTATCTGGAAGTTCTATTTTCTACAGCAAAAATAAATAAAGCAAGGTTCACTTTCATTACTTTTAATAATATAATTCAGTCACACCGTATGCGATTTTAAATTTTATAACTTTGGAATGGTGCAATATAAAAATATTGCTAATGATAAAACCACTTAATGCAGTTTATTCACACAGAGAATTCTTAACTATGTATATTTTGAACCTAGTGGTCTTCAGAAAAGCATAAAACAGGATCACCTAAAATTCTAAGAAACAAAAATTAGTCAAAACAGTCCCTGACAATGGCAGAAAAACACTAATATATGCCAGCAAAACACACATGAATATAATTGGAAATGCATTTAGTTTAGAATCAGTATCAATTATACTTAAAAATGAAAAAAAGCTTTCCATTTGCAAATCGATTATCCTCTGCCATTTTAGGCTGGTTTCCAATATCTCTTCTTTTACTCAAGGCCCAGCTATATACTCCAGTTGGTACATCTTAAAGGAAAGTAAGTTTGTTTGATGATGCAGCTTTCTGGCCTCTCAGCTTAATATCTTTTGATCTACAATGTGCTTAATAAATTAATCTCAGCTTCACAGAAACGTCTTGATGAAGATACATATAATCTTCTGAATGTTACAATGCAGTAACAGGTTAAGTTTTCATGAATCAGGGGCCAGATTTATAGCAATCCTTAAATTACTCTGCAATTCCTATTACTGTGTACAGTAAGAATTATTCATATACATTTTTTCCATTTACTATATATTAGGTCTTAATGTTATCTCTGAAGGGTAGACATTTATCAGAGATGGTAAAGTATAAACTCTTTGCTTCTTTTTTTAAAAGGACAGAAACAATTTAAAAATAAAACAACTACACTGGACAACAGAATTAAGTAGATACCAATAGATTAATGATTTAGTGTTGTTATACATGTAGTAAGTGCTTAATGAAAAGTTTTAACTACTGGATGTTTTAAAAAACTGTAAATGACCTGGGGTGGTGGCACACACCTGTAATCTCAGCACTTGGGGGCAGAGGTGAGAGGATCACTGCTAGCTTTGAGACCAAACTGGCCTACAAAGTGAGTTCAAGGCCAGCCTGAACTGCATAGTGAGACTTTGTCTCAAAAAGTGAAAACCAAAAACACCCTGTAAATGTTGTCAATGACTACTAAAATACCTTGCTGTTCAGAAAATCAATTATGATCAGCCATGACATTACTGAATATTCCCCTAAGAAAGCTACCACAGTTTGCACCACTGACAGTATGGACACATCTGTGGAGGAGGCTGTGCTGACGGTGGAAGACCGGTACGCTCAGCCCAGGGCTCAGCCAAATGGGGTCCTACACAGCTCTGCATGCAGCCCCCCAGACTGGAAATGGTTAGCATGATTCTATCACGGTTCGTGGCACTGATGTCAGGGGTGCAGGGCTCAGGCACGCACAGTGTAGGAGACATGGGAATGCCGGGCAGGAAAGGGCACAGTGTTAACTGCGGCTCCAGTGCCTGCCACACAGTCGGAGGAGTGGAAGCTCGAATGTATCAGACAGGACATGCACTCGTGCGACTTGGCTGGTAACACACAGCAACCACTGACAATTGTGTTCCACCCTCCTGAAACGCACGTAGGTACAACTGGAGCTCCTTCTTCAGCTGGCACAACAATAAACACTCACCTCTGACTGCTCCAATGCAGTGTAGAGTTGCTACCAGACATTCAAAAAAAATTCAATCACAGCTCTTTACTAGACTTCTATACACCAATCTTCCCAGAGGAAAATGTCCTTCCCCACACAATCACCCGTACTCATGTCATTGCTTTTTGCCAGTATGTACGTTTGTGAACAACTATTTTCAGGAATGAAGCAAAGAGTAAAATTAGATCAAAAACTTCTGATGAGTACCATGCAAACGCCTTAAGAATTCTAAGCACTTTCACAAAAACAAGGTCAAACGCTGCATCAGTCAGCTTCCCCACTGCTGGACTCATAATGGAGCCCTTGGAGAACAAGACTAATTTTGTCATCAAGACACCATATTTCTATCGATGAATTATTAATTTTGATTTTATGAGTTTTATATTAAGAAATGAGTACTTAATAGGAAAAAATCACAAAAATATTTAGTATTTAATATTTATTCAGTGTTTATACAAAGGTATCAAAATCTTCAATACTGACTGGTTTTTCATGTACAAAGTCTAAAAAATATCAGAGTTTAATTCCCATATGAGCTGCAATGAAAATACCAACAGCACTCTACAAACAAAATAATCTCTACTTCAGTTATTACATCTACAGCAGTCTGTGCACATGAGAATAGCGATTCCATATACACACAGTGCTTACACCAACAAAGTATGTCTTTTGCTTTCCTGGCCTTTTTGTAGCGTGTACTTGATATCTCAATGGTCTTGCCATTTTGTCAGGAGGTTCTTACAGTATGCAGTGCATAGCTAACAGGAACATAAAATATCAATAAAATAAATTATTAAAATCTTGATATGTATTGTGCATTTAGAACAGACATCAACATTTTCACATCAGCTGTGTACTTCCTTACAAAACCTAAAAGATAACATCAGAAATAAATTTCTACATAAACTACAATGAAAATACCAATAGAACTCTATCACACATGTAAGTTTTGCTTCACCTGTCAGTTGACAGTTTTCTTTTTCTCTGTGGCAGTCTCATCCTCTCTTCCTGTCTGTCAGGTGCTTTCTACTATATTGTACAACACGCACTTACTGGGAAAGTAAGATGTCAGTACAACATCAGATATGTAATGAGTGCTTAAAATAGACATCAGCATTTAACATCCACTTTGTACACACTTACAAAACTTAAAAGACAACAAATAAACATCTATATGTGAACTATGGTGTAAACACAAACAGAAGTCTACTACAGAAACAAGCTTTGATTCAACCGTACACCCAGGGCAGTCTTGGCAACCGCACGCTCCACACACAGGTATTGCTTATACTGACAGCACACATATTTTGTTTTCCCGTACTTGTAGGGCATAGCTGACACCTTTTTCATTTTCCTAGTTACACCCTTTGGTTTTTCTGTTGTCATCAGTAGGTGATGCTTGCCTGCCTGTTCACCAGTCAGGTCACCAGTGTGACCTAATTTTTCAGTGTAGTTCTCTGGGAAGAAACATCTTGTTTTTCCTCTGCGTAAATGATCTTTTATGAGCTCCAGTCTCAATCCTCTAAGAAGGTTCCTCTGTGATATTTCGCACATGCTATTTTCTTTGTAAACTATCAAACTATTTATGTCACATGTTTAGGATCGAGTGAAACACAACCACTGACCAATACTTTGTGTTTCAAGTGACATCATAGCTGCTGCATAACTCATCAACAACATCGACTCCACTTTCAGTTCTACTGTTCAAAGTTTGTATCTCAGACTTTCATTTTGTCAAGGTTTCCCTATCAACATTTCTATCCTGGTGAAATGTTGACATCAGCAACACCAGTTTGATTTTCTTTGCCATATATGAAGCTGACTTTGTATCTTTATGAAATCCAAAGATTATACCACACAATCCTGTCTTGAAATTGCATTTCATTTGGAATTCCAGCTTTGTTCCCGCGTGCACCTGCTGCTTGCACTTTGTTGCAACTGTAACATTAATTGGAAGCTGGTAAACCAACAGTCCATAGTCCTATTCCAATTAGTTTGGGAGATGGGAGCAACAAGTCTGTTCCCTGCATCATTTGGATTATTACTTTATGAAGAAGAACCTTTTGTCTGAGAAAATTCCAGGATAAATGTTTGAACTGAAAGCATAATGAGTCTTTGCATCTACCAGGGCCTAATTTTTTTTTTTTTTTTTTTGTACCGGGAATCGAACTCACGACTGTGTGCTTGCAAGGCAGGCCTTTATGCCGCTGAACTAAATCCCCAGCCCTCGGCATAATTTCTTTAATTTCAAAACTAGAACCAAACAAAATAAAACAGAAAAATGCCAATCAAAACAAAACAATGAAAGTGACACAGAACTTCAAAACAAGATAATAGGAAATCAACAATAGTTACCATAATACCTCTTACTATCTTCAAAAATAGTTGTCCAGTCCATCAGATGTAAGTATGTAAAATTAACCAATCAGTACAAGAACTAAGCTGCTTCTTTACTTCAATTGTTATTTTTTCAGAAGGTTCATGTGTACAAGAAATTAGAAGTATCTGTTGGTTCTGTGAGGGCTGCAGATCTGAGATTTTATTTTGCTTTGTCTTGAAATTTTCCTGTTTCTCCAAATCAGACAAAGGGCACAAATTTCTATGCCATATTTTGACCCACTGCTTTTCCATTAAGTTTTGAATCCCTATGTTAAGAAATTTATGCCAAAGTTGTACATGATGGCAAACATCTGTAATTCCATCACTTGGGAGGCTAAGGCAGAAGGATTGTTGCAAGTTTGAGACTAGCCTGGGTTACAAAGTGAGCTGAAGGCTAGCCTAAACTGCACAGCAAGACCCTGCCTCAAAAACACCAAAAAATAAAAAATAACTAAAACCAAAAGTACATCTGTCCTAAGTACATTATACCTATGAATGATTTCAGTTCAGCAAGTGAGGTGTTATAATAAATAGGTTTTTTAATATGGTTACTGGTACATACAAAATATTTCACTTGCTAAAAGCCCTTGTGTATTTCACAGCATCTTGTAGCATTCTGTCTGTTACAATTTCCTACATGAATGGTATGAATAGCACTGCTGGCAATCTGTCCAACATGTTTCACTCTGCCAAAACCTTCATTATATTTTTGTTCCATTTGGTTGCAAGGCCATTTCATAACATTTCTTCACTAGTCAAATATGTAATCATATTCCGGTTTTCTTCTTCATCTGAATCAAGGATTCCCTGCATTCCCTGTCTGTATTGGTCAATTCTTGCTCCATTTCACTGTCACAGGAACTTTGGCTCACATAGCCACAGCCAAAGTCAAAAACACATCACCATCACCATACAACCACACCACTCTTCTGTTATGAAAGTATGTAT